GAAGACCTTTCTGATATTGATCAACTCCGTAGACGCTATGGAGCGCTCCTTTGGGATTGTGCTAGGAAAAGCAAGAGCTTGGTGCAATTAGTGAAAGTGAGGTGACTGGGAGATCACCAAGAAGAAAAAGTGCACCAGCTGTGAGCGAGAGAACAAGAGTCCGGACCAAAATGAATTAGTTGCCCTTTTCAGTAGCTAAATTGTAGTGAAAGTGTTCAGTTGTAGCTGGATTGTATTAAAGTTGTAGGAAAATTATTTACTAAGAACAATTCAGCTACAGTTTATTTGTAGCAAATTTATGCTAAAGTTGTTTTAGCTTTTGTGTTGTAATTTTGTCTAGAATTCTACTACTTACAAATGAAAATATTTGTAGCATGTTTTTTTTGTTGAAAATTATTAGTACTTGATCTCCATATTGGTACGCTATAATATATGTTTTATGTTGTCTTCTTTTACCATATTATGTGAACATATGTTACTCTAAATGTAAGGTATCAAATGTTTAGCTTTACAATTAAAGGAAATTTCAAGTAACGATACACTAATACTCTTAGATAACAATTTGTTTACATCATAACCACATTTATGTCTACAACTACTACACAAAAACATAGAATCTATTCAAATTTAGCAGTATTGTTAGAAAAAGTTTAAAATTAATAAATAAATCCACTTATTGAACAAAACAACTACAAATCAATGGCATTAAAAGTTAAAATCTGTTTATCATACATTCATTATAGGACACAATATTTATTCAAATTAGCAACACAATTATACCACAACAATAATTTTCAGGAACACAACAAATACAACTGAATATGTCTTAAAGGTAGATTATCATCAACAGTACTTAGTAAAAAAAATTCTTTATACTACATAAATTCTTATTTCCTTTTGGGAGCATTCCTATAAGATATTTTGTTATGCCCTTCTTGTCCCCAGTTGCCACATGAAACCTTGTACTTCTTCGCATTTATTTCATCATATGGCTTGTATCTTTATTTTTGAGGTCTCCCTGACTGCCTTTTCCCAGTAGGTGGCAGTACAACTTTTTCTACTATATGTTGTGGCACATCCCATTTGCTTTCATAAGGTAGAGGGTCTATTGGTATTTCATAAATCTACAAAAGGCTCTCCCTCGTGTAATAAGGAGAACAATAGTTTTCACAAGAGTCGTTCCTGTGCCTCAAAGCTGCCAAAATATTTGGACAAGGAAGTTCATCTAGCTGGAATTTTCCACAACTACATCTCTTATTTTGAAGGCAAACAATGAAGCGCTTCATACCATTTATCACAGTATGGATGTAATCTGTTGAAGCTCTCACCTACATTTTTATTACAGACATACAACAAGTTGTCAGCACTTGATAAAAGACAAAATAACTACAATTGTACAACAACATAACTTACTCTCATCTTCTTCAATAATGTCCTGTTGTCCTCCAACTATTTGTTGTATTTTTTCCCAAGGTATGTGAACGTACCATTTGCATTCAATAACTTTTCATTAGTCCAACGTTCAAGAAGACCCCTCATGTATTCTAATAGTTGAACTACAGGTAGCTCTCTTGCATCTTTGGTTACCGAATTCAAGGACTCTACAATATTTGATGTCTCGTCCATGTTCTATTCACCATAGCATGTACCCGAGACTATTTGTGATAACCAATATTGTATAGGTATGCTTTAACACGCGTGTCGAACTCTTCAATCTTTGAGATTATTTCATTAAATTTATAAAGCGTGTATGATCGTGTCGTGGCAAAGTATAATTCGCTTAACTTTAGATGATCTTTCTTGAACTTTGACCTTACATTTGTCCAAATACGCCACATGCAAGCATAATGTGGCATGCCGGTATAAATCGTAGATGTTGCCTTCAATATACTCTCATTCCGGTCCGAAACAACACACACATTTGGTTTTTCATCATATGCATATTTGAATTGCTCAAAAAACCACCTCCATGATGCGTTATTTTCTGAATCAATAAAGGCGTATGCTAGTGGTAATATGCTACCTGTCACATATATAGCAACTTTAATACAGTATCTTACAATTAATCTACAATACCTGCTGCATCCATTGTGCTAGCTGTTAGCATGACTCCTCTATATGCTGACTTCAAGAAGGTACCATCGACTGCTACAACTGGTCTACAATGCTCTCAACCCTTGATAGACGTACTAAGAGCAACAAATGCATGCAAGAAACAATCATCTTCTGTCTTTTGCAATTTGACTACCGACCCCGAATAAGTCTTCTCCAAAATATGCAAATAACTCGGCAACTGACTGTAGGAATCAATAAGATGACCTCTCAAAAATTTTGAAGCCTTTTCTTTTGCTCTCCAAGCTTGCATGTATGTTAAGCTCACACCATGTTTCGATAACATGTCAGTTTGTATGTCTTTTGGTGTGTATATTATCTTAGGATCCACATATTTTGGCATGACCATGCTGCCAACTACCATGGCAGTAGCTTTGCATTGTATATATGTTTTGTCCATTAACGAGCATGTGTGCAAACTGTTGAATTTTCGAACCTTGTACAATGCTGATTCGTTTATGCTTGCGAACTTGAAGTGCCACGTACAATATCACCAACACATATGAGGCAGTAGCTACAGAATAAATATAATGATAAAAATGTTAGGCAAATTGTAGTTACCAAGAAATCAGGCTGTTTATGCACAACAAATTGTTCTAAATAATTTATATACATAAAAACTACAAGTTATACACAATTATTAATGGCAACATAGTGCTTCATAGCACTGACAATTATTTGCTTGTCTGGGTAAACTTGGCCTATTCAATTACTTTTGGTATATGTTCTGTTATGATTATACTTTCATATTTCACAATTGCTGGGATGTTGGCATATCAATCAACTTCACTGTTCCTGATACTTCTCCAAATCTGTTATAATTGCTTGACAATTGTACCACGTTAATATTACGATAATCAAATGTACCTGCACTCATTTAAAAGTTGACAAAAATTAAATTTGACAGGTGTTCATACCTCTGTATATTCAGGTGTTCAGTATTTGACAGAAATTAAATTTGTATTATACTTGTAGATACTTTGTTCTGTGATCATAATTTGCTTTTTTCAAACCTTAGTTACTGTGTAACAGTTACACTTCAATTGTTTTTAGAGACATAACAGTTGAACTACATTCTTTATGTAGTATAGTTGCAAACAATTTGCAGTAAAATTGTAGCACACTTGGAATTGCAAAACATCAGGACTAAAAAAATAGAGCAAACCTGCAATTGTACTCGCATTCGATACGCTGCATTCCAAATTGAAATTCCTTACCGTTATACACTGCGGATACATTCCTAAGTTTTCGTTTTCCTTTTTCGTCTTCATATACACTCGAACTCCCATTTCGTTCCGAATTTTCATTGGAGGACAATGTTCGTTGACTGTGTATTTGATCTCGATGATTTTTACAGACGTATCGATCATTAGATGCTCTGCAATTGCGGCATTCAATTGACTATAATCTGAATCTTCATTGACTACAATTCTGTCAACATCAAAATCTATGTATCTCCCAAAGCTATCCCACCGACCATTGAGCTGAAGCATTATCGCCAAATTTAGTTCAATTGTAGTGAAAACAATTACGCAATGCTATGAAAACTTTAGAATGTATCTATACAGAGCTGATTGTCAACGCTTCACGTTAATCTGCAGTTGTTTTCTTTAGAAGCTTTTCTTTTTGAATTTGTTGCCTTGTTTACGGAAAACCCGAGGAAATCTGCATAAAAGAAGGATTCTGCAGATTTGTTGTCTTGTTTATGTGGCGATGATTGCGACTAAATTTTGTAACTGAAATATACGTTGTCCCAAAATCGCGCGTCTAAAAAAGGAAGTCTACCGAAGAAAAAAGTCTATTTTATATAAATGTATATTTTTATAGCTAAAACGTGTTTAAGTCGGATAAATTTCAAAACTAAAACAATTTTGATAATAATATTTTATATAGTGTATAAAAAAGAAAAAATCACTGTAACAGAAAGAAGAATCTAGAGCATGTGTGAGTTGATACACAAGATTCTATTATTCGACACATATATGCTCCAGTTGACACAAGTTAGATAGAAGGCAAATTGACCGGTTAAGTCATATTCGGAACCATCACAATGGGTTTCAATCAGTAAATGGGCAATGGCCTAACCGGCCCAAACCGGATCAAAATGAATTAAGTTAGGAGATCTTTACACAAATAGCCGGTCATACTTATCGTTTATTTTTTTTAGTCATATACATAAATTATACACATACAATACATAAATTATGCATATATTATATCTCCAACGATTATTTTTAGTTTACGTGGTTGGTTGGGTTAATTCTTCATTAAGGGATACATCAAAGGAGGAGTTATATGCCACTAGCCAAGACGCCAACGCGACTCAATCTCTTTTTCAGTTTTGATTTTGCATCTCTTAAGAAAATGCAAAAGTTAATATATTTTTCTTAAAATAGTAGTTATTGCGGTCTTAAATTATGAATTTAATTCTTCCAATTTCATCTTTCCCAATCTCATTTGATTTTTGATCTGTCGGTTACACTATTTGACATGTTTCACCTAATTATATAGTTTAATAGATCATTTCAAGTTCAACCCAATGAAACAAATCAACAAATAGGTCATAACTCGACCCACTTAGTATAGGGCGAGTTGAATGGTAACTAATAGATGAGTTGATAAAAAATGATAATGCAGCAAATCAAAAGCTTTTTAAGAGTTTGATGGAAGAAACAAAGTCAAAGTAGGTGAATTGCAACTTCCAGCAATTCAACCGATTTTGATTCTTTCTCGGACAAATTAAAGACTTAATACTTGTTTATGTTATTTAATAGATTGCACGCAGTAGTTGAAGCCTGGCATGACATTACGGCCGTACCATGTCCAACAAAAACAGAGGAATAAGTCGATAAAATAATAAGAAGAGAAGCGGTTTCACTGATGATCCATCAAGTAAAAAATTGTTATCAATTAATAAAGAAGTGGCTTAACATTATTGAATATAGAAGATACAAAAACGAGCTTAAATTTCACAAAGAAAGTGTTATTACAACCTTACCTAACAAGTTAAATTAAGTTAAAGATAATAAACCTCTTGACCATTTCCCAGTAGTTGATATCTGCTATATAAATGTGACATCTCCCTTTCTTTCGGTTTTAGTGAATGGGGTGGCTAGAATTATTTCATTTAATTATTTGAAATAATTAAATGAATTGTTTGTAACTAGCATGGGCGTCCTACTGTGCAACCGAGTGATCCTGAAAACTTAGTAAGAATTCCAACTCTGTAAGATGGTTCTGCTGGCATCAAATTGAGGTTCTTGAATTTGCTTAGTGCATTTGGATCACCAGAAGTTCTAAAGAAAGCACCATTTTGCATGTCATCGTCTTGTGATAACCAAGTCCAGTGTCTCCATTCTGATTCTTGTGCCTTTTCCCTGTGTGTCACCTCTTTAATATCAACATTGTATTGAGCAATAAAACGGTTACCCTGGCTAATGATTGTTGCTTCACTGCTACCGCCAATGGCGTACCTGTTGAAAAAATATATAAAAAAAAGAACACAAAAATTAATAAGGCCCGAAACATGTGCTTTCATTTATATTTAAAAATAAATTTGTTAGCATTACCTCATCCAGTGGGTGTAGTCGTTGTTGACAAGATGGAAGAATCCAAGCCTGCACCTTGGCATCCTTTGATCCAACCTCTTACCAAAGTGGTTGTACGCTAATGTGATTTGCATTTTCTTATCGTCCAGGTAATTATCATTTGCACCAAACAACATTACTTTATCGTGGTCAGTAAAGTGGCAATTAGAGATGGTAATACCAGTAGATCCTTGGACGGCATCGATGAGCCCGTCCGCGGCACGTGACATCGACACGTGGTCAATCCAAACATCATGAGAAGCGAAGATGCTAATAGCATCTCCTTCATCTGCACCCCTGATACCTATGTGGTCTATTGAGTCCCTGATCATGCCACCAGAAGTAGGTCCAATGTTGTGAATGTGAAGATTAGTGATGATAATGTTGTTTACACCTTGCATCTTAATTCCAGCTCCTTTTTCAATATGGACATTGTGTCCACGTGCATCAATGGTTTTGTAGCTTTGCATAAGCAATTCCCTGTTCAACTTAATTTTCATATGTTTTGAGAATATGATCCACAAGGGTTCCTTCTGGATCACTGCGTACCTTAGGGTACCTGTTTGCAAATTAAAAGAATAGAAAATAATTAAGAACAAAGACTTTGAGACGTAACGAAGTCATTATTATATATACGTGTTTGCATCTTGATGTGATACAATTACGTTTTCATATAGTAGTATATTACAAACTATCGAACAGTACCTGGCACGGGATTTTCGACGTTGTCGTCAGAAGGATCTGTGACTACATAAATCCTTCCACCTTTTCCTCCAATAGCATTACGGCCGAAACCCATCGCACAATCAGCATATTTTTGGCGATCATCAGCCCAACGAGGGTTACATCTCCAGCATTTGTCAATAAGATTTGCAGCAACACATGGTCCTTTGTATTTTTTGGACAAGTGCCTTCTTGTGCTGTTGTCTGGCACTGCTATTCCTACTGCAACAAATGTGAAGAATAAGAGGACAATAAGCCCATTGATTTTTGTTTTTGAGATTCCCATAATTTTTTTGGTTTTGTTTTGTAGTATTTTACTTTTTTTCTTTTTTTTTTTTGGTGGGAAGCTATCCGAGAGTTTGGTCTATGGTCTCGGTATGTTAGTAGGGCTGATGGCTGATCCTTGTAGACCAAACTCAAGATGTTCCCTATAACATTATGGCTTCTTATTTCACGACTTGTTTACATTCACAAAGCATTCTTTATATATTGATTCTTGGGATTATTTGCATCCATAGCTTGAAATAAGGAACGAAAATTAAGGTGGATCGTTTACCAAATAGTGGTTTCAAAGAGATCGGTACTTGAAATTTATAGTTCTCCTTTTCTTTTGTTTCTTTTCCTTTTTTTGTCCGCGAGTGCAGGGTGGGTGGGGAAAATATACAAATGGAAAAGAGAAGAGTTAAAAAGGAAAAGAAAAAAGTATTAACGCCCTATGAAAATGAATTTACTTTTAGAGATTAAGTTATACACACTGTCAATATAATGAATTTTTCACACTATCACGTTATTTTTACATGTTATAGCAGAAAATTTATCTTATTTTCAAGATTTTAAATCCCACAATTTAATAATGTAGAAATTTACTTAAACTGACCGTATATATAACTCAAACTCTTAATTTTAATTATGTGGTATATATAATTGACATATTCTATCATATTATCATTTGCTCAAGCATGACATTGCAGTAGTCTGTATTGTAGGAGCGTAAGTAGTTAGCCAAAAGCAAAATCATGTTTGTATGGGCGAAAAACTTCACATCACGTATTTGACATGGTCAACGGATATAAAAGCCTTTGAAGGCTACAATATATAGACATTATAACATATCAAAAGGCCGGGGTCATATAAAGAAGGTAGATCATTGTTGAAGTCGAGGTGGCTTAATAGAAGACGAAGACGAGGACGAGCATCCGTCCTCAATGTGCAATAAGGGATAGTTTAAAGATTTAGATTCCCTAGAGAATATCCTAGCGAATATTTCCCTCTATTGTACTATTTAGGGTTTTGAGACTCATGTACCCTTATAAATAGGAAGAGATTTAGTTCTAGAAAGGGATTGAACAATATTTTTGTAATAATAACATTGACACTCTCTGAAAATTCTATATTTACTGAATACATACAAAGTTTACCTTTACACCTCTTTTTCCATCTCTCTTTCTCTCCCGATCGAAGAAGAATTGGAATATTTAAGTGCTTATCATTATCCATCATTGTTAGAAGGATCAGTGAAAAATCTCACCCTTGTCGGGTGAACCTTGTTCCATTTATTACTAAAATGTCATTTATTGTCATTTACTGCTATCTTTCACATTCTTAAATCATTAACCCTATTATTACTCTAAGATATTATTATCTAACAACATACATTTGGTACTTGTCATAAATGCACTAGATCTGTCGTTTGTATATTAATATTGACTTAGATTAACCATTTTCTTTATAAATCTAATTGTACAAAAACCTAGATATTAATTTTGGGTTATACAATTTGACACCATCTGTGGGGATTTCTTAGTCAAACTTTTAGTTTGCATCCAGATCTACAACTTTCGTGACTTGTTAACTTAACGTACTATAAATTTATCCTTCCTCTCTGTGTACACAAGGATTCCATGGCAAGTAACTAAGGATATAGAATAAAAGTAACGGGCGATAGCCAGCTCAACCTCATGAGTGCCATCGACGAGGGGTACGATACCCAAGATGAATAGGTAACTCCCACGGCATCTTGCCCCCCCTCCCCCCCCCCCCCCCAGATTAGGGAAATCGCCTATACCCTTCTACAGCACAACCAAACCAAATGGGAATGGGGCTTCCACGTTCCAGGGGGGGGGGGGGGTGTTACCCGCTATGAAAAAGCTCCTCGAAGCTTGGGTAACCAACACTCTAGTCAGCGTAATAAGCAAGCAAGCCCCATGCACGTCCATGAAAACCACAAGGATCCATGCATTACATCAAAGGAATGAAAGAGACGACCAACCAAACCTTCCTACTGCAGGTAACACTCGTACAATTGTTAATAGTGCACGTGAAAACGTTCTCGTCGATGTGTTAAAAATAATGGGGGAAATGAAAAAAGAGAATAAGGTGCTCAAAGAACAGACGAAGGAGCACAAGGAACAGGTAGAAAAAATATCATGTGCTCCCAAATTGCTACCAATAAGAAACGCCGACAGGTTCGTAGAACAGCCATACAGAGAGGAAGTGGCTCCTCGTGCTATACCAAAATTTTTTAACATGCTCTCATACCTCCGAATCTACGATGAAAGGACTAATCCCGAGGATCATGTAACTCACTATGTCACCGCCATAAAAGGCAATGATCTGCCAGCCTATTCCATAGAAACATTCGAAGAGATCGTGACTACGCATATTGGGGCCAAGAAAGGTGAAACAAAGGTGAATGATATCTTCGCCATCAAACAATACCCGGGATAAGTTTTGAGGGACTTCATCGCCTCGATTCAACAGGGTGGGGATGACTTTACCAAACGTCTCCGAGGGAATGGTCATGGCAGCCTTTCAAAACGGGCTGAACAGAGAAGGTTAAAAGTCAACCAGAAAGTTGTTGAGCCGATTGATTAAGTATCCACCGGCCACCTAGGACGAGATCTAGAATGCATACTGTGTTAAGGACAGGGCGGATGATAAAGACCTTAACGGGCCAACCCAGTAACTCACCTCACTTCAATCTAAACCCATGAGGGAACACAGGGAGAACAAGAGGAGAAACCCTCAAGTACTGCGATCAGGCAGATATCGGCATCAACCCTACATCAAGGCGCTCATCCCTAATTTATGCCGTAAAGACAGCCCCTAGGCCGAGATCACACATCCCCAGAAATGATCAAGGTATGCCTCTATCACGACCCAAAATCCAACTAGTCGTGATGGCAACTAACCCAACCCGCTAGGTAAGCCAATCTAACAGTAATTTAACTTAAAGAAGATCTACTGAGAAAAATTATTATAATATAACTGAACTTTTATACAAAGAATCCCTAAGGACTGGTAGTACAAATCATGAGCTTCTAAGATTTAGAGTTTACAAAGCTACTATGAAATAAATACATCATCGGTTTGAAATGTAGATAAACAGATTTTTGTAAATATAAAGCTACCATGAACAAGAGGCAGAAACAACTGGAACACAGTTTCATCTTCAAAGCCAGTTCCTGCCATACACAGCAATATCAACTCCAAAATCTGCACACAAGGTGCAAAAGTGTAGTATAGGTACAACCGACCCCATGTACTCAATAAGTAATAAACCTAACCTTAGGTTGAAAGCAGTGACGAGCTTGGACAATAGTCAGAGTCCAACACTAATAGCCAAGAACAACTTGTAATAATAAGATAAAAGCAGTACAAGCAATAACTCAAAGATATGATGCTCAGCTCGTTCAGAGTTACGGAAAATAGGCATGCTTTTAAGGTATAATAGTAAAACCCGAATCTTTCATCGAAATTACCAAAATATGAGTAAATAAGAAAACTTTCAACAACAAATGAGATATTTTATTGTCAGATAGCATGAGGATAGTACATCTCTATGCCTACATGTCAATGTGCATGTGAAGTCATGAATGTCACAAAATCGTGTAGCATGAGAAAATGCATTTCTATGCCTGTATGTCAAGTATGCATGTCGCATGCAATGCATCACAGTGATGAACTCATGCACTCACACTCTCAAAGTACTCAATCTCACTATCTCACGCTCCCACTTATCTCGCTCAATCACTCAACACACTCAGCCACTCAACACAGTATGGTACCTGCGCTCACTGCTGGTATGTCAGACTCTGGAGGGACGGATCCTGCCCAAGCACTAATAAAACTTGTTGCAGCCCGCATCTCAATCCCATCATAAATCAATAATACCTGCTACGACGTTCAGCCCGATCACATCATAAATCAATAAAACTTCCTGCGACGTGCATCCCGATCCCATCATAAATTAATAAAACCTGCTACAGCGTGCAACTCGATCCTATAAATATCACTAATAATCGGTCCCTCGGCCTCAACTCAGTTGTCAATCTCTCCAGTCTCTCGGGCTCACAAATCTAATACGAATCAGCCCGAACAATGATACATGATGTAACAATAAATTATAACGGAGAATGAGATATGATATGCAAATGAATGAATATGACTAAGTATGTAATTGTAATTTAAGCAAATAACTCAACATAAAAAATGACCTCAGTGGGTCCCAACAGAATAACCATATAGCCTAAATATGGTTTCTAACATGGATCACAGCTCAATTATTCTAGCACATAGAAATTCCATGGATAGAAAAAAGATTTGGTAATTACACAGTATCACAGAATAAACTGAGTTATAATTCACATGGTGCATGCCCACACGCCCGTCACCTAGCATGTGCATCACCTAAACACCAGCCACATAACACGCATTTCTGGGATTCATACCCTCAGCACCAAGTTTAGAAGTGTTACTTACTTCGAACAAGCCGAATTCAATACCGAGCAAGCCAATCAATACTCTATAAATGCCATCCTGCGCATACCAACCTTCGAATGGCTCGAAACTAGCCAAAAGAAACTCAAGAACATCAAATAATGCCAAAGGAAACAAATTCAATCGATAAAGGTAGAATCTTTAATCAAAAGCCCAAAGTCAACCTGGGCCCGCACCTCAGAATCCAACAAAGCTCACACATCCGATGTTTCATTCAGTTACGAGTCCAACCATACTATTTCACTCAAAACCTACTCCGGGTCGATGTTCAAAACTCAAAAATTTACTTTATGAAATTTTAGACAACCCCCCCCCCCAAAATTCACTTTGAAATCATCAATCAAATGCTAAAAATGAAGATGGATTCATGAAATATAACCAAAATTAAGTATAGAATACTTACCACAATCCATGTGGTGAAAATTGCCTCTAGAATCACCCAATCCGAGCTCCCCAACTCAAAATATGACCAAATGAACAAACCCTCGATATTATTGCTTTTTCCCAGCTGTTCTGCCTCATTTTATATGTTGAACAATCTCACAACTCGATTATGATGCCTCTAATGGATTCCTCATGAAATTTCAGTAAAGTTAGGCTATTGAATCGCTCCATTTGACCTTATAATGAAGGAGATATGTTGGTTTCAATATTTGGGTATAGTGCAGATTTAGAA